CGACTCCTTATGAATTCGCTGCTTGAATCCCATATTCTAAATGTGGTCGCACATAAATCGGGTATAATAATCTAAACATTTCATCATCTACAGATGATACTGGAAAGACCCACAAATAGACCATAACACCCTATAACCTTTCGCAGCATCAGCCTTACAGTGACTAGTGGTTTTGAGATTACTGCTTAATATGATTCCTAAAGCTTTATAGTTTCTTACTTTGTGCAGCACGAATCCACATATTGTATAGCGATACGATTCATCATAGTTATTTGATAGCGTCACCACACTCTTATTAGGATTTACTTCTAGTGACCATCTGTCTAACCATGTCACCAATGAGCTAAGATCATTTTGTAATACTATTCTATCCGACATACTGTGTATGGGTCTCCAAATTTTTATGTCATCAGCGAACATATGATTTTGCTACAGTTGGTAATTCATCTACATAAAGTAAAAAGAAGAGGACCGAGAGTTGTGCCTTGGAGAACTCCACTTTTTACAGGTACTCACGAGGAGAAAACCCCACCAACCCTTACCCTTTGTCTCCTGTCATGTGGAAGGTTACTTATCCAATCCACGACTGTATAATGGATTCCAAAACGTTCCGGTTTGAATTTAAGACCAGAGTGGGATACCTTGTCGAGGGCCTTACTTAGATCTATGGTGATCACATCCACAGGAATATTCCGATCTTTTGCACCAGCCCAATCTTCTCTTGAAATGAGAAGATTTGTCAAGCATGATAGGCCTCTCCGAAAACCATGCTGTTCCCTGGAGAAAAGATTATGCCCTTCAACATAGTTTATACGAGATATTCGCATGGTTTTTCCATCAGCTTTATAAGTGCACTAGGTAAGCTAACGGGTCTGTAGTTACTAACTAAATCCCTAATCCCTGCATTATACACCTGACTTATTATAGCGTATTTTCCAATCTTTGGGCAGTCTCGACTGCCTCAGTGACATGACAAACAGTATCGCTAATGGTTCAGCAATTACATCTGATATGGCTTTCATAATCCTAGGATGAATATCATCAAGACCACTGGACTTATCAGGTTTGAGGTGCTGAAGTAGCCTTAAAACAGTACCTTTCTCAATGACTAGCCGCCACGATCACAATGAGTCGTTGGTCATTCCTCATTACTGATAGAAAACACTTTACTGAAATATTCCGATAAAGCTTCAACTTTTACGGTATCATTTTCTGTCAAGACTAACGAATTTTCTTGTATCAAAAGTGATGGAATTCCATCGCTTCTCTGAATTCGCCTTTTTATATACGAGAATAACCGTTTCGGACCATATCTAGAATCCCTAACCAATTGTTTTTCATATGCTCGTCTAGTCTTACTCATTAACGCTTTACAGGTATTCCTAATGGTATGAACGGGGACGTAATTAAACTAAAAGTACCTTTAAATACAGACCATCCTTCTTCAACTGATAAGCTAGTATCTACAAACCAATCTGTCTTCGCAGCGCATTCCTGAATGGCCGATATGTTAGCTTTCCATACGTTTGGGCGGGGTGTAACCTGATCGTATAACATGTCCCTAGTTCTAAACGCGAATGACAAAACAGCGTGATCGCTGTTTACTAACGGTGGAAGAATATTTAAGTCGACAATATCCTCAGTCTCATGAGTGATTACCAAATCCAGCAGAGAAGAACCCTAGTTAACACCAAGACGTGTGGGTTGGGATACATGCTGCACTAATGTATGCTCCATTATTGTTACCAGGAACCTACTATCAAAGGAGTTTATAGATCCTTCCGTGGTCATCTCAGTCCATCTAACATCAGGTGCAATAAAGTCTCCTATTATCAAGCATCTCGTATTTGCACTCCAAAGATGAATGTGCTGTAAAATAAAGTCATCAGCTAAGCAGATTGGGATGCGATAGATGACACCGAGCATAAATGTACTACATCCGATAGCCAACTTACAGCTAATGACTTCACAAGTACCGCTATCATGGGACTCGCTAGCAGAGGAGCGGATATTTATGCTATTGGCTATATATAACAGTACGTCACCTCTTTTTCTACATTTATGTCTATCGCTCCTGAGATAATGGTATTCAAATAATTCTGATGTAGTGTCTAAGTCATGGACTAACCAAGTTTCTGTCACTGCTACGATGAGTGGCTTTAATCTGTCCACTAATGCTTCGAGTTCATAGAACTTATTTCTTAGACTACGAGCATTAGCATATAAAACTCCTAAGTAGAACGGTCAATCCACACAGGCCTTGGTAACATTCGCCTCCAAGACCTGAATATCCGAAAACCCACTAGCCGGAGATTTTCCTCACCGTTTTGCCGACGGGTTTCTAGTTCAGCTAGTGCTTTCTTCCCTTTTATTCTATCTTCGAGAGACATATCAGGTCAAACTCGGATGTTGGGATTGTCGTGACAACGAGCGCCACTTAACAGGAGATCCTGTTGCTGACCCAGATGTTGCTTGGAAAGATACACAAGCAGCTGTCGAAACAGCAGTGACACCTATTGATGATTTAAACCAGAGGGTCACAAAAACCAATGGATTTCTACTAAGTCTATTGCACAGATGGATTCTCGTAAACTCATCCCATCACGCTCTGAACACGATGAAGAGCGAAAACAAATCAGATCTAGGTTAACCAAAAGTCTAAGAAACGATCGTGAACAGTGGTGGACAACGAAAGCAAAAGAGATGGAAAAGGCGATGGCTGTAGGTAACACAAGGCAGCATGTCAGACTAATAAAAGAAACTGGAATTAAGAAGTCAAATGTAAGTGAGACTATCTTAGCAAAAGACGATTCTTAAGGAGTAGTTCAGTCGGCCTTCAGCTACTCTATAATTACCCACCATTCGCAGAAAGCCTGAAAGGAACATTGAAGTAGGTTCCCCAACTCGAGCTCAATTTCAAAAGTATATTGCTAATCTGAAACAAGGAAGGGCAGTTGGTCCAGACGTCTCTAAGTATGGTGGTACAATTTTAGCAAAGAGGTTGACTAATATTTTAGCTAAGATCTGGGAGTTGGACGTGATCACATCTCACAGGTCACAATCACTGATTGTCGAACAATATCGCTAATGGTTCAGCAATTACATCTGATATGGCTTTCATAATCCTAGGATGAATATCATCAAGGCCACTGGACTTATCAGGTTTGAGGTGCTGAAGTAGCCTTAAAACAGTACCTTTCTCAATGACTAGCCGCCACGATCACAATGAGTCGTTGGTCATTCCTCATTACTGATAGAAAACACTTTACTGAAATATTCCGATAAAGCTTCAACTTTTACGGTATCATTTTCTGTCAAGACTAACGAATTTTCTTGTATCAAAAGTGATGGAATTCCATCGCTTCTCTGAGTGGCTAATGGCTCAAGTGTTCGATAGGATTCGATCGCCACTCAGACAAACATGGGACCAGTTACAACTGTGTGATGAACCAGCTTGAATATCTCAATCCTACAGGAGGTCGATGACATGACTTGTAGTTGACTGGATTATCGTTGGTTATCGAAGTGACTCGACACCTGTAACAAGTCAAAAGACTGATCGACAGATGGGGATTTATTTAGCACCCAAACACAAGATTAGCTAGATTACAACTGAATTAACAGAACATATCAATACATTAATTTTCAGGTCGACTCACTTCGTGATAATCAATAGATCGAATTCCAATAAACCACAACTCAGTCCCCTCACAGCTGACTAGTCAATAGAATGCCAAGAGGAAAACCTCTACTGGTATCGTAAGGATGAAAATGTTGCAATCGACAAGAGTAGATGGTATGCTAACTCAGATACAGATGTCGATAGAGACCCGAATAGCTCCAAGCTATTATACTCTAATATTGAATGTTCTGATTCTAATTCGTGGGAAGCGCTCAAATAAGACACGAATTCATCTCATCCTGAATGCACGATTGTTCTCACAGGAAGCTTCGTTAACTCACCGCAAAACTAGTTACATGAATGCGACATCACTGCGCCATTAACATCTCGCACTAGTTAACTTCAAATTGAAACTAGCGTAAGAATACTAGGCCAGTACACCAGTTTACAAACAATCTCACCTATATATATACACTGTCCCTCCCATTCCACTTATTGTATACACAAACATCACTTCTAGTTTAGTTCCGAGTAGGCATCTCCGAACAACCTCACACCTCGTTTCGCGGAATTCAAAGACACCCAATCTGACCACTAACTAAAAGAATGGGCACACACCTACCACTTATAAAGTTCAAAGGCTTATAGCTCCGACGACTAGATAAAACTTATAATAAACCCACCTCCATATGCAGGATTATCCAACTGACCGATCATCCGTTCTTCGACGCACTGTGACGATCAACTGACCCGATTACACAAAGGCACTTCTGAAAACCAAATAAATGCTTATTACATTTCATCAACCTGTATATTCCAAAGTGAAATACTATACAAAACGCGTGCATTGTCATCCTTACCCATTTTACATCCCATCTGTTGTGGGGCAGTAAACAACTAACTAGTAACTGCAGGCTGTTCAGACTACTCAACTAAATATTTACTGTCTCAAATGAAATCATCTCACTTAACTGAGTCGTCGAGCAAATCCACTTACAGCCCCAGAGCACGAGTCACCTGTCTTCAACAAACTTCTCAGTAGTCTCAACAACGTTTGACGAATAGTCTTATCATTCCATTCAAACGAACTACCGACATCGATATCACGTCTTAGACCTTACTCCCTACCCGCACGCTAACATAAACTAATATGGACAGTCGCTTAATGGCGCTAGTATCCGACCACGTACGCTAACACCAACCTCTAGGTACTGTATGCCCGTCTGGACATCCCCTATTCTTCCAGGCTTGTACGCAAATGTTGGTAGGAACATACTACCTAAGGACACGCTCGCAGCATTTCAGTCGATATAGAAAAAAACAACCAATTTGAGAGCAAAGTTTATTAGTCACCGGTTATATACAAAATGCAAACAGGCTAATCCACTTCTTCCATACCATCTTCGTCAACTGTAGCTTCGGGTGCAGCATCTTTCTGTATACCGTTACTTGGGATTTCGTTCGCCTTTATTTCATCATCAGGAATATCCAGGCACATGCAAACCATATGGTGGATGCTCTTAGCGTGTATCTTGGGATCAGGTAGTGAAAATCCTGAAGAGAGAAGTGCGGTGTCGAACAACAGTTGCACAAGATCCTTAACAAGTTTGGTTGAACTGCCACTCTCAAACTGTTGTTTCAAGGCTTTGATCATAGGGTGGTACGGGTTCAGCTCTAGCTGTTTCTTGGCTGCCATATACCCCATCGTGGAGGAATCCCGGAGTGCCTGAGCTTTCATGATCCTCTCCATGTTAGCAGACCATCCAAACTCCGAAGTTACAACGCAACATGGGGAATTGGTAAGTCGATTCGAAATACTAACTTTCTCAACGTTCTTGCCAAGGATTTGCTGGATCTCTTTGCACAGCGTTTCGAAAGATGACTTCAGCTCTTCGAATTGCTTTTTGTCCTCGTCACTCTCAGGTAATTGAAGACCGTCCTTTGTAACACAAACCAGCTTCTTGTTTTCGTATTGCCGTATATGGGTAACAGCATATTCGTCAATCGGGTCAACCATGAACAGTACTTCGAATCCACGTTGAGTAAGCCTCTCAGTAAATGGTGAATTCATTACAGCTTGCTTTGACTCACCTGTTATGTAGTAAATATCTTGTTGTTCGGGCTTCATACGTGATACATAATCCTTCATGCTGATCATTTCATCACCAGAAGCTGAGGAATAGAAACGCAGTAAGTCGGACAGCTTCCCCCTATTAACACTATCTTCATGGATGCCCAGTTTTATACTTTTCGAGTATTGCTCGTAAAACTTCTTGTAGTTATCTTTATCCTCCGCTATCTCCTCAAATAACTCAATACATTTCCTGACCAGGCTCTTACGAATAACCTTCAATACGTTGTTCTGCTGCAACACCTCACGACTGATGTTAAGGGGCAGGTCTTCACTATCCACAACGCCGCGGACGAAATTCAAGTACTCAGGAATCATATCATCACACGTATCCATGATCAGCACTCTTCGCACATACAATTTGATATTGTTTCGCTTCTTACGCGTTCCTTCAAACATGTCTATAGGTGCACGCTTAGGCACAAACAGCAACGCCCGGAACTCTAACTGTCCTTCAACAGAGAAGTGCTTCACGGCAAGATGGTCCTCCCAGTCATTAGTAAGCGACTTGTAAAACTCGGCATACTCTTCTGTATTTATATCTTCGGGATTACGCGTCCAGAGCGGTTTAAGCTTGTTCAGTTGCTCTTCTTCAGTATACTTCTCCACAACCTTCTTATTTTTCTTTTCCTTATTCTCCTCTTCCTCGTCTTCATCTAGATCTTCGACTTTCGGTTTGTCGTCAGACTCGTCAGTTTCTTTCGACTCGGACTTTTCAGCTTCATCATCAGACACTTCCTTGGTCCGCTCTTTATTAACAACCAGCTTGATGGGATAGTTAATAAAATTAGAATGTTTCTTCACTATATCTCGAATTTTTCTCTCTTCAAGAAAATCTAGTTGATCTTCTTTGAGATGCAATATCACCTTAGTGCCGCGTTTTGGCAACTCACTGTCATCTGGTGCGATTGTGAAAGTTCCACCAGCGGACGACTCCCAAATGTACTGGTCATCATCATTATTTTTCGTCACTACTTGAACCCGGTCGGCTATGAGGTAGGCAGAATAGAAACCTACACCAAATTGACCAATCATCGATATATCTGCACCATCAGCCAAAGCCTCCATAAATGCCTTCGTACCAGAGGAAGCGATCGTACCCAAATTCTTAATCAAATCTGCTTTCGTCATACCAATACCAGTATCCAGGACAGTCAAAGTTCCAGCCTCCTTGTTGGGTATCAACTTGACATACATATCTTCTCCGGAATCAAGAACTGATGGATCAGTCAAACTCTTATACCTCAACTTGTCCAGAGCATCACTAGCATTAGATATAAGCTCACGAAGAAATATCTCTTTGTTGGAGTAGAAAGTGTTGATAATCAGGCTCATAAGCTGGGCGATCTCAGCCTGAAACGCGAACTCCTCAGGTTGTTGCTCGGTAACCATTGATTCGGGCATTGTACAGCGTCTAACACAAAATCAAGTAACGAACGCGCGCTGAGCGTGCCTTTATAAATACTGTTTAGAATGTTCTAGAATTTATTGTTTGGTTTCTAAAAATAGAAACAGATGGACCAATAGGAACAGAGTAGATTTGCGTAGAATATTCTAGACTGTTCCTTCACTTTTCATTGGCTCACAAAATCGGGTCAACAAACTGGTATCATCCTGGCCACTGTTCGTGTAAACTTTTGCGTATGAGGTAATAGTGGAGAGATCTAGATGTTTGGTTATAAGATTTGGATTTCTGAAATCTTAGATTGACAGTTTTCAGTTTCAGTTTGCAAAGGACTGGAGGCTTGACGGCCTGTGTTAGTCCTGGCAATGGTTGTTTCTCAGTTGATCCAACTTTCTTTTGAAAGTGTTGACAGATGGAGCCTCAACCACTTACTGTGGTAATGAATTCCACTCGTTGATGATTCGATGGGGAAGTCGATGTTCAGCTGACGAGTAATTTGTTCTGGACTTGTGAACTTTTTTGGAGTGTCCTCGTAAATTCTGTTTTTGAAGTCAAGGGAAGTAAAGGCATATCAGATGGAAATTTATTACTAAGTAGTTCAAAAAACTAATGTATTAGCCTCTGGTCCTTCAATATAACAACGGGAATAGGATTAGCCTAGCCAGTCGAGCATCATATGGGGGCTAGCTACCATACAAAGATCGGCTTGAAAAGCTAGACCTCTTTACTCTGTCCTATCTCAGATTAAGAGGTGGTCTGATTTTGATGCATATAATACTAAGTAATGATTTTGAGACTAATATATCCTCTCTTTTTCTTCCCACTATATTGGGATATCTCAGGGGGAATAGCAGGCGAGTAGAAAAGCCAAGGGCGAAGAAAATACCCTTGGTACACAGGTTTTCACATCGAGTCATCAATTCTTGGAACCTGTTACCCGAAGTAGTGGTGTCCGCATCTCCAATCGACTCATTCAAGAGAAGACTGGACACTCACAAAAGCATACTAGAAAAGGAATAACATAGGCCGTAAGCGTTCTGTCCTTACTACACAAATCTGAATCTCTGGACCTTTTCTAGAAGGTCACTGTCTTTTTTAAGCAGGGTCTAATCAATTCTATGCAGTGCTCGAGTTTAGTACGCACGAACTTTGTATACTGAGTCAAAAGCGTTTTAGCGTCGATATGACTAAAAGCCCTACATATTGACCATAAAGTTCTAAAACCTTTGGTGGTTATTGCACGACAGTGTGCAGTAGTCTTTAAGTTTTGGCCCAACTAGAAAGTCTTTTGCCCACAACAATAGATTCCCTCGAACCCCGACATTTCTTAACTTGTGTAGCAGCCGGTTGTGCGGAACTTGGTCAAAAGCTTTGCTGAAGTCAGTGTAGGCTACGTTTTTATGTAACTTTTGGTCTTTAAGAGCTCACCAGTTTTCACGAGCCACTAATAATTTAGTGAGGCAGGAATAACCTATAATAAAACCATGCTGCTTTTCCGAAAGAATCCGGTTTGCATCGAATTACTTAAACAGCTCCTTTCGAATAATCTTTTCTAAAAATTTTACAACAACACAAATTAGGCCAACGGGTTGGTAATTCTCAGGTTTATGTTTCATAACTATTTCGAAGACAGGACTTAATATGGTGTTCTTCCAGTCTTTTGGTAAACGACCCTGCGTTACGGATAGATTAAAGCATGTACTTAAAGGTTTCGCAACGAAGTAAGTTAATTTCTTTAGTAACCTGGGATGCAGTTCGTCGGGTCCCGTGGATTTACCTATGTTAAGCCTATTCAGCAGACCAAATACATCCAGATCTTTAATGGTCACGCTGTCCAGTGTGTGTGTGTGTGTGGGGGGGGTTTGTATGGACTCACGGGAAGGGCTTTTCTACGGTATATACATTGCTAAAGTAGTTCGAGAACACTTGAGCCTTACCAAAGTCGTCCTCCACTAATGATGCGGCAGTACTGTCTCTCCATAGTGCTGGAATATTTCCTCTTCTTTTTGTCCTTTGATTAGGATATTCCTTGGCGATTTTTTCTTCGTACAACCTTCTAGATTTACAGAGGGTGGAGACACAGGCATTCTAAGCTTTTCGATACCTAGTCGCTTCTTTCACATGTTGCACTAGGTCACATGTGATAACCGCATCAACTAGTCCCTGCTCGAAGGAATTTTCTGACGATTCAGTTAGCAGATTTTCACAGTCTACCATAGGTGTATTAAAGTCCCCTAGGACTAGACATCGACCACTTTATGACCAAGTATTGAGACTGCTTAGCAAGACCTCATTTACCTCACGGCCTGGACTGCGATAGACCAAACCAATCAGCAGCTCTTGTCCCTTGCATTTTAAGCGAAGACTAACTAATTCACACGTCCCACTCTCATGGGATACACTATCGATAATGGCAAATGGGATAGCATTCCTAATGAATAGAGCTGCTCCTCCTCCTTTATGCTTCTGGATTCTATCGGCTCTTACCAACCTAAAGCCCTCAAAATCAAGTCCCATACTATCTGTAGGCTGCGTCAGCCAAGTTTCTGTGACTGCGATATCTGGCTTGGTAGAGTCAATCTGTACACCTAGTTCCGATCGCATATTGAGTAAGCTTCGGGCATTAGTGTAACAAATCCGAAACCTATTTAGATGGTTTCGTGCTACACTCAGAGTGGCTTCCTTATCATTTTCTGTTGAGGCCTCACAATCCAAAAGTTTACAATTTTTATGTCCTTTTCGCCAGCGTCTAACCTAGGTTGTAGTTCATTTTCGGCTTCCCGTCTTTTTACGCTGTCTACCGACGGCAATTCCTTACGGACAAAAACTCATGAACCCTTTAATTTATGTCCATTGTGTAAAATTAAGTCCAGTGCTAATGTGGTGTGGCAACTCGAACTGATGTACGTGCGTAAGAAGTTCTACGTTGTTACTGATTGACTAACTGTTCATTAGGAGATTTAAATACTAGTTTAAGCAGCCAGGTTTGTTTTGGTTTTAAGTTTGCTCGACTAACTAGTCTATACACCTTTAGCAAGGTGACTCCGGAGATATTTTGACCCGTAAGTTGATTTAGTAGCTGTTTTATCAACCCAATGTTATGCTCAAAACCAGTTTTCGGTTCAAAGCTTTCACTCTACTTGATTCTATGAAAAATAGCTGATCTGTCACTGTGGTCATTTTCCGATTTCCAGACTTCTTTTCGAGGGTTGGATTTTATTTTATATCGTTATTTCGTTTCTTGTGTACGACCTGTACCCTTTCGTCAACTTTCGTTGGAGTAGCAAACACAGTGGCGTTAAACATACTGTGGGTTTCCGGGAGGTTATCGACGACTTGGGCAGCCAGGTTGTGTTTCCTGCTAGAAACAGATCCAGCCTTGCGATTGCGATTTCTAGGCGTTTCCTGTCGGACGCCATTTAGAGGACGGGGGACAGAGGAAACTCTCTTCCTTGGGTTTTTATTTAGAATAGACCTTTTTGGAGATGGTGTTTCCTTCTTTGATCGATGTGAGTCAGCTGTTTCCAAGTTCACTTAAGGTGGCTTCACATCAACTCGTTTGTCAAAAGTGCGAGGGCTGTCCGATGTTTCCTGACCTCACTTGTTAATAAACTTTTTTGCAGCATTTAGTATTGAAATGACCCTGGTTAGCAAGCTGTTTGCGTCCGAGCAGCACTGCTGACAAGCCATATACAACCATTTTTATTAAACCGTCTGAAAGCCGCAGGCGTCAATTTCGTAAAAACTTCGTGTTACGAGCCTTTGCACCCATCGCACTGCATTCCGCTTTCAACGGGATATAGACAACTCGGACGTTGGCAATTTCTATCCTTGCACTGTCCAGTCATCGAACATAGGTTTTCAAAAAAGAAACTAGATACAATAGTACCCAGCGACAATAGTGATCTATGACTGAAAAAGTGGAAAACTGTAGATTGTTTTAACTGAATTATTTGCAAAGCCTAGTACTGAAGGTTCAGATCAGATTCGGATTTGTGTACTGAGCATAGCAGCCAAAAACCTGGATTAACAATGAAAATCATCAGGACGAGTTGAAGGTCTGTGCGCTAATAATTACGAAGGTATACCAGGAGGCACGCCTGAAGGAGGTAGTGAAAGTGGAAAGGGACCAACCATCGAGGGGGTCAACTAACCTGTAATTGTTGCGATTAATTATTTGGTACTTGGGTGAATTCAGATTTTATCTGTAATGAATCTTGACTTGTAATTCTTAGTGGTTGTCGGTTGCTTGATATTAGGTCCAGGACTCGTTGTTTGTGAGCAGTGAATATTGTTGTCTAGTGTCTGGTCGCCCAGTGTAGGATAAGAGTTGGTAGTTCGTTTGAATGGAATGATAAGACTATTCGTCAAACGTTGTTGAGACTACTGAGAAGTTTGTTGAAGACAGGTGACTCGTGCTCTGGGGCTGTAAGTGGATTTGCTCGACGACTCAGTTAAGTGAGATGATTTCATTTGAGACAGTAAATATTTAGTTGAGTAGTCTGAACAGCCTGCAGTTACTAGTTAGTTGTTTACTGCCCCACAACAGATGGGATGTAAAATGGGTAAGGATGACAATGCACGCGTTTTGTATAGTATTTCACTTTGGAATATACAGGTTGATGAAATGTAATAAGCATTTATTTGGTTTTCAGAAGTGCCTTTGTGTAATCGGGTCAGTTGATCGTCACAGTGCGTCGAAGAACGGATGATCGGTCAGTTGGATAATCCTGCATATGGAGGTGGGTTTATTATAAGTTTTATCTAGTCGTCGGAGCTATAAGCCTTTGAACTTTATAAGTGGTAGGTGTGTGCCCATTCTTTTAGTTAGTGGTCAGATTGGGTGTCTTTGAATTCCGCGAAACGAGGTGTGAGGTTGTTCGGAGATGCCTACTCGGAACTAAACTAGAAGTGATGTTTGTGTATACAATAAGTGGAATGGGAGGGACAGTGTATATATATAGGTGAGATTGTTTGTAAACTGGTGTACTGGCCTAGT